ATGTATGTGTGTGCAGAGCAGTGCGTTTAGGGGTGAGCATACATGGCGCATGTGAACGTGTGCGTAGATAGCGTGTTTGGGAGGTGTACATAGTATGTGTGTACACACAGCAGTGTATCTTTGTGCACAAGTAGACCGTGTCTTTGGGGATGGGTGTACATTGTGCGTGTGTGTATACAGAACAGTGTGTGTGCATGTATGTGTGTGCATGTGCACAGCATGTTTGGAGGTAGGCACATGCAGCAGTGTGTGTGTATGTTTGTGTGAGTGCACACTGCTATGTGCATGCACGTGTCCTGGACACCTGGGTGCCCACGTGTGCACATGCACGTGCGTTCTAGCAGCCCCCGAATGCCGCAGAGGGGCACACACTTAGCATGTTCCCCTGCACTTTTGCATGTGCGCACACATGTGCTGGGCTGGCCCCAGCCCTGCCACACTCGCTCCTTCTCCAGCTCCCTTGTGCAAACACGAGCACCCTCGTGCAAAAACAGGTGTGCAGCGAGCATCCAGTCTGGGTCCTCCCGGAGGGGAGCAGCGGGCTGCACGAGGGCCCTGGAGGACTCGCCCACCAGCCCGTCCCTCGTGTAACACAAGCGCCCCCGTCCACGTGCAAGGCACAGCCCTGGCCGGCGGCCTCCGCGTCTTGCCCCTGGGGCAGAAGAAGGAGCGCTCTGGGGGGGAAGGAGCGCCAAGGACGGGGCACGGGCTGAAAGGCAGGAGGAGAGCGCGGGCGGGAGGAAGGAGCCAAAGGAAGGGAAGGAAGGAGGGGAGGGAAGGGAGGGGAAGGGAGGGCTGGGGAAGGGCCGGGCCCGGGGGCACGGGGCAGGCAGGCAGGCCGGCCGGCCCTGGTTGCAGACGGGAAGGCCGGCGCGGGCGAGGGGAGGCGGGAAAGCCGACAACGGCGGCGGGAACAACCCCCCGCCCCGAGCGAGCGGGGACAGAACGGAAGTGGGGGGCGGGGCGAGGGAAAAGAGAAAAAAGAAAAGACAAAAAAGGGGGGAAAAGGGAAAAAAGAAAGCAAGGGGCGGGAGCGGGGGCGGGGGAAGGAGGGGGAGGAGGCAAGAAGTGGGCGGGGTATGCTCAAGCCCCGGCC